GAAAGAAAGAAAGAAAGAAAGAAAGAAAGAAAGAAAGAAAGAAAGAAAGAAAGAAAGAAAGAAAGATCAAAAGTGTGTCAAGACCATGAAAATAAATATGCCAAAAATAAGGCAGATAGTTATTACTATTAAATTTGTGTATCTTACAACTGAAAGCACATTTCTCATGTTGTGTATGAAAAGTTTAAATATTGAGATCTAATTTAATATTGAAATTTACTTACTTAATAACCGTCCGACAGTGGATTGTTCCTGATTAAAAATAATCTAAATGAAAATATGCAAAATGATTTATTTAAGTTTGTCCCTGGACTGCAAAATTACAGAAGCATTTCAAGCATATTGATGATATTACACACTAATATAACTCTTAAATCATGATTGTATATCCACAGAATTTAATTTTCAGTTTATCATTAGGGCTCGTGATACTTAATATTTAGTTAGTATTTAATTGGTAAGTCAGGTGATGGTTTTGCTCAACATCTGCACCAATGTTTCCAAAAATAGCCATTTTAAAAGCCGTTTGCAGACAGGGATTTACCTATAACCAGTTTGTCTCCTTTCATACAGTGCTGTAGAACTGAGAAGTTTTATGATTCAATTCTACAATCAGAAAAATGTACCCAGCAATTTCAGTCTACCAATAGTATAGTATCAATCAGTAGAATGGATTCCTTTGAATCTGGAGGTGGGTGTGGAAGTAAACCACTGTTGTAGGAAGGCAAGTCCCATTGCAATGAGATGTCCGCTTGTGTAGAAGCAATTTAATAGGATCATTAATGTGCTACTCAGAAATAAGCTCTATTGAATTTAACAATAGTTACACACATGCAAGAATACAACTGAATCGCAATATCAAAAGCTATCAGTCGCCATTATATGTTATTCTGAACGTGAGCATCTGTCCAGGTTAATACAGAGTTAATTACCTTTTGCAATGCTAATATTTTTTGAATTTGCTTTGATTTGTCAGCTTATCAGTTAAAGGCTATTATGCCTGGTTTTGAAAGCACTGCTTTTCTAAGGATCAGAGCGTTGTGGACAGGTGCTTCTTGTTTATCCTGGCAACAGCCAAAGGTTGCTATGCAGGCCTACTGGCAAAAAGAAAGGGATTTCTTTTGGCCAGGAGAGGAATATAGCAAGTTATTTTCATGTTTCAAAGCCAGAACACTTTCCACCAAGTTTCTTTAAGGAAGCATGCTAAACTGCAATAATATTCATACTTAACATTGACAGTGTTAATTGATTTGTTAGCCTTTTAAGGTTTTAACAGTGTTCAAGAAATTAGGTTTCCTGCCTCTTCTTTTTGCATAATGTGTGTGTGTGTGTGTGTTCAATCCATTTCAAAACAATATTGATTGTAACAAAATAGTATTCTTCTGTCAAATTGCAAAGGCATCTTCCCAAAGGTATTGGACTACAAATACCATTATCCCTATGGGAGAATGGCTAGGGAAGGATGGTTTATACTTATAGCAATGCCCAGCATATGATCGCTGATTAAGGATCACTCAAGGCCAATATTTAAAATACAGCTTCAATCAGATCAATATCAGACTGGATTTCAAAGTTCAGCTCCCTCAATCACAGTCTCAGCATATAAAATGGACACACCATTGATTTCCAAATATAAGACTGTTACTTATCACAGACACTGCACATTGTAACATGAAAGTAAAGCAACATGTATAAATTTCCCCATGTGATGGAATTTTTATTTCTTAGTCAAGAATGACTCTCGTTTTCCAAACAGGAAGCATCAATTTATATCTTCTGGATTCTCAAGGGATGCATACATGTACAAAACGCACACGCGCACGTGTGCGCGCGCGCGCACACACACACACACACACACACACACACACACACATATACAAAACCTCTGTAACAAGTCTCTAAGCCTACAGTAGCATTTTTGCGTCTTTGCCATATCCTGCCTTTTGTTATTACCAAAAAAAATCTTGGTAATTCAAATGCTAGAATATTTTCTGCTCCCATTTCATTTGATTCTATGAATTACCTTGCCCTTGAGTAAAAGTATTTGTTTGCAGGATGCATGCATTCTAACTTATCACTCTCCATTTTTTGTTGATCCTTCATTTTCTAAGAATCACTCTCTCCCTCTGTGTCTGTCTCTCTCTCTCTCACACACACATTTTCTTTCTCTTTCTTTTGCTCGATCTGAAGTTTGCATAATCTCTTAGTTAACACGCTTATATTCTATAGGCATTTTTTCCTTCATCATAGTTTCACCATACCTTTTCATTCATATTTAGTTTCCTTTTCTGCGTAGCCATATAAATTATCATACAACATAAAGTATTACTCATGTCAACTTAGAAATTCTTCACAATATCTGAGAACCCAACTGATTATCTTAATTGAAATTACACATTTTTTATTCTTACAAACATAAAATTTCTCTCTTCTCTAAGACATCTTATTTTTAAAACAGCCTCAATGAATGGGGTGAAGGCTACAGTCAACTATGTGAATTTTGACTAGCGTGCATGGATTATAATTTTCAGTCAAAAAGTTGGCATAATTCATATTACAATCTCAGACAGGCCGAATAATTCAATCCAGCTGGCTTCCTGGTTGAAAATCAATTACAAACAAACAGGTTATAGCAGTTTGAGTTTTTCTCATTCTCGATTACAAAAAACACTGAAGTCTGGTTTTCTAGTTCCTTCTGGTTAGAGGACTGATTCCTGCTAAATAATCCCCAAATGAGGGGCAGGTTGGGTCATTTCTGGGTCTCTTTCTGAAATGAGGGGTTAAGAGACAAGGTGGAGTTGGCACAACCTGGATCTTAACTATCTGTTGTATTTTAAAGTGGCTTCAAATATCTGCTCTAATATGTGGTGGGCGGCTGTATTTGGAGATGATCCATATATTAATCTGTTTTTCTTCCAAGAACCTTGGACAAAGAGTCTAATCCAGAGGTCTTCAAACTTGACAACTTTAAGACTTGTGGACTTCAACTCCCAAAGTTCCTCCTCCAATCATGTTAGCTCAGGAATTCTGGGAGTTGAAGTCCACAAATCTTAAACTTGCCAAGTTTGAAGACCCTTGGTCTAATCAGTAACTATTACATTGTTGTATCTTTTTAGGACAAAGTTCAAGAGATTGTATTCCTTAGGATTTGTCAGCCAACGTTAAACAGCATCAATATATCCATTATCAATACATATTCAGTTGAGTTATCCATTACTGAACGATAAATGACAACTGAAATAGTAAAAGTATCAAGCAACTGATTTGTTGAATAGTGGATTCAACCTTATTGGGAACTGTGATTCTATTGGTGCTAGGGTTACACATGTCAATGTGTGTACATGGAGGATCCTTTTCATACCATCTTCCAAAAAGTGTCACAGTTAGAACATCTTGGGGGGTATCATTCTGACTGACCAGTTGTCCATCTTTCAAAACCTAGGAATGAATGAATTTCAGTCATATAGTTAGCTAGATAAGTTAAGGCATTTTTAAAGTAATAGACTGAGACGTAGTTCTTATAATATACTATAGAGAAGTTCCCAGAGTGACAACCCACATATTTGGATAAGGTTGGAAAAGACTACCAACTATGAGAGCCACTGGTAGTCAGTGTAGATCAGGGGTGTCAAATTCAAGGCTTGTGAGGCAGATCCGGCCCACGGGTATTTAGATCTGGCCCACGGGCTGCCCTGGAAACAGCAAAGGACCGGCCCACGGTGCCTCTGTCAGTGAAAATGGAGCAGGCTCTGTTTTCAGCTGGGATGGCCTCTTGCAGCCCTCTGCCAGTAAAAATGGAGCTTGGGGGGGGTGCATGCGACCCCCCTGAGCTTCATTTTTGCTGGCAGACGGCTGCAGGAGGCCATCCCAGCTGAAAAAGGGGTCACGTCCCGAGGGGTCACACCTCGGCCCAGCCACCCTGGCCATGCCCACCTGGCGCCCCAAGGTCAAACACAAACCTGATGTTGCCCTCAATGAAATCAAATTTGATACCCCTGATGTAGATAATACTGAACTGGATCAAGATGGAGAAATAGTCACAGGACCCCTCTTCAGGGGACATGGGGATTAGGGCTGCTGGGAGATTTAATTGAGCAACGTCTAACATCTACAAGTTTCTTATTCCTGAATTCAATAAAGGTGGAGAAGCCACAGTTAGCAATGGGATTTTAAGCTCTATGTGAAAAAAAAAACCATAGGACAAACATCATCTGATGGATCTTATTTTGGCAACATTCAGGCAGCTTTTGGAGCCATGCAATGTGTTTAATACAAATTGCTTACTCGCAACAAGACAGTTTAAAAGCTGAGTATTTAGAAAAAGACATTCTACACTATTATATATGACATAATCTAAAATTGTAGATTACACTCTACAGATGTAGGTAGTTCTCAGTTTACAACTGTAGTTGTGCCTGGAATGTGACTGTGCCCAATTTTATGACACTTTTGCAGCAATCATTGAGTGAATCACCTCGGACATTAAGCAATCTCTACATTTGTCAAGGGAATCCATTGTCCACAATGGGTCGTTTTTGCGGGAAACCCAAAGTAAATACCGTTTGCTAGCAAAAAAAAATATTCTTCATAAAGCGTGATGGCCATGTGACTATGGGACACGGGCAAAGAGCTATCAATGCAGCGTGGTTGCCAAATGCCCAAAATGAGATGGTGTGATTGTGGACGGGCCCCAGCCATTGGAACTTTGAATCTGGGTCAGAAGTAGCCCTGGGGAGATCAGCCTTAACTTTGAACGATTGCTAAGTGACCAATCGTAAATCAAGGATTACCTGTGTGTACAACCAGTTATGTAATACTGTATAACTATTACCTGTATGGACTGATTTACTTCATTCAAAAGGTAAATAATTGTTACCTATATTCTGTTGCATAGAAAATAACATATTTTCTGTCCTTCCCATTTCAAATAGAGAAAAGACTGCCCCAATCTCCTCTGCTTCCTGAAGGAGCGAAATAGGAGGAACACAATTCAGTTTCCTCCTTCTGATATAAACAATCCAGTATTATTTTTTATGTATACAGGATTTTCTTTGGCTTGCTTACACACACAGACACAGACACAGACACACACACACAGAGGGGTGGGATTCTACCAGTTCTGTCCGGCTCTACAGAACCAGTAGCTCTGAAGAACAGCAGACACAGAACTGGTTCTGTGTCTGCTGCTGTTTTGGCCAACCTGCCCGCCCGGGCTCTTACCTGACCTTTATTTCCTGCTTTTTCAACCACAGCTGCTTTGCATGACACAGCTGCGGTTGAAAAGCAGGGCTTTTCCAACCGCTGAGCACCTGCATGAAGCACTGCTCAGCTGTCCGGGCAGCTCAGTAGGTTGTAAATTGCACTCACGTGACTTGCGTGATTTGCACAACTCGCACATGTGCGCACGACACAGAGCAACAGAACCGGTAGTTATACCGGTCGGATCCCATCCCTGTATGTGTACACACACACATGCACACATGCACACACACACACACACACACACACACAAATATATATATACACACACACACACATATATACACCATGTAGATCCATCTCTGCTCTATACAAGTGTAACACATGTAACAATGTGGTGTGGCCTTCACCCAAACTCATAGATCAAGCAAGGCACTCAAGTAAAAAACACAGTGAGAAACTTCATTTTTCTCACAATTCAAATTGGGCTTCCAAAAAGTGACCAAAACAGCTCCTTCTGAACCTTATTAAGGAATTTGTTTCTGCACTTCTATTCTAGCCCAGTTTGGTTCATACCCACCCTAACAATATTTGTGTTCTAAAGATGGAAAAATACTGGGGTACGATTCAATGATGGGATTCACATTTTTTTACTACCAGTTCTGTGGGTGTGGCTTGGTGGGCGTGGCAGGGGAAGGATACTGTAAAACCTCCAGTCAGAGGTGGTATTTGCCGGTTCTCTGAACTACTCAAAATTTCCGCTACCGGTTCTGCAGAACTGGTCAAAACCTGCTGAATACCACCTCTAGTACTCATACAGTATTTTAAGATTTTTAAAGTGAATATAAAACATTAAATCAGGAACTTTTAGGTTTAATGGACAAAATAGCTTGAAAAAAATATGAAACTTTGCTCCTTGATAGCAGCCAAAATACTTTATGCACAAAAATGGAAAGATATATTAATTCCCACAAGGGCGACGAATGGTAGGAAAACTGATGGATTTAGCAGAGATGGCTAAATTAACTGCTCTAATCGAAGAAAAGTATTCATTCAACTTTCTTTCTGCTTGGAAAATGCTTCTGGATGTTGTTTTTGAGATTGGAAAAAAAATGAAACTTTGAAACTTTGGTTTTGTTGTTTGTTGTTATAGAAATATTAAGCATGTAAGAGTCCCAAAGGTGCTTTTTCAAGAAGCAACTGGACTTTCTGGTTTTTCTTTGAAGATGTTTTGCTTCTCATCCAAGAAGTTTCTTCAGCTCTGTCTGGATGGTGGATCAGAGCTGAATAAGCTTTTTGGTCAAGAAGCAAAATGTCTTCAAAGAAAAAATGAGAAAGTCCAATTGCCTCTTGAAAAAACACCTTTGGGACAACCATGACCTGGATGACGGAGAATCTCCATAGACGTAAAAGTAAGAGGTTGAGGTTGTCATGTTATGATGTTATCCTACTATGCTAAAAAGAGCAGGAAGTCAATGCTTTTCTTTTTCCCTTTATCCCACTTTTTTTCCTTTCTCCCTTTCCCTCCCCCATTTCCCCAGTACTTTCATTTTCACTTGTATGTTAGACTTTGATACATTTAACAAAATTATAATTTAAAAAAAAATTACCTGAAACAATCCAGAGGCCAAACGAATCCCACTGAGTAAAACCTCTGGGAAGACGTAGTTTGTGCCAAATGTGCCACTGAGAGAATAAAAGTCAAAAGAGGATTTAGCAGTCTTGGTTGCCTGGCCGCAACTTTGAAGGTCCATACTTCCGCACTTCAGCAATGTGCAGATCTGGAAGGAGAAGAAAACCAAACAACATTTGAAGAAGTACTCATGATTGAGAAGCCAAGTTGCTACTATCAGAAAAGGAACCATTGTTTTAATTTCCTCCATAGCAAGGAACCTTTGTGGAACGCACTCATGTGAATGTTGGTGGCTGGGGGAGAAGCCCGACTGATTGTTGACTCAGAACTAGCAGATAAAGGCACGAGTTCATCCTGGCATAAGATGAGTGTTTATTTATTTATTTTTATTTTATTTATTTTGTCAAGCAAGTATTAGATAACAGGTATAAGTATAAACATGCTTATGAATACATGAAATAGATACAAATAAAAAAAAAGAAACAATAGGACAGGGATGGTAGGCACATTGGTGCGCTTATGCACGCCCCCTACAGACCTCTTAGGAAAGGCGTGAGGTCAATAGTAGACAGTCTAAGGTTAAAGTTTTTGGGGTTTGGGGAAGAAACTACAGAGTCAGGTAGAGTATTCCAGGCATTGACCACTCTGTTGCTGAAGTCGTATTTCCTGCAATCAAGATTGGTGTGGTTAACCATGAGTTTGTATCTATTGTGTGCTCTTGTATTGTTGTGGTTGAAGCTGAAGTATTCATTGACAGGTAGGAGTTCCTGGTGTCATGGTGACCAAGGACTTGCAGCTATATAAATCTCGGTTTTTAAAGGTAGTCCTCGACTTTCAACCACAACTGACTCCAGAATTTCTGTTTCTAAGTGAGACATTTTATTAAGTGAGTTTTGTCTCCATGCTATGAACCTTTCTTGCCAGAGTTGTTAAGTGAATCACTGCAGTTGATAAGTTAGCAACCTGGGCGTTAAATGAATCTGATGACCCGATTGACTTTGCTTGTCAAAAGTTTGCAAAAATTGACCGCGTGATCTTGGGACACAGCAATTATCATATGCATGAACCAGTTGCGTCTGATTTTGGATCACATGATCGTGAGATGCTACAAAGGTTGTAACTGTGAAAATTGGTCATGGCTCACTTTTTTTCAGTGCTGTTGTAACTTTTAAAGGTCACTAAATGATCTGTTGTAAGTCAAGGACTACTTGTAGTTGCTGGAAATGTACGTTCTAGTTTCTCTCTCTCCACGTGTTTTTCAAACTTGATACATTAAGATATCTGGACTTTGACTCCCAGAATTCCCGAGCAAGAATGCTGGCTGGGGAATTCTGAGATACAAAGTCCACACATCGTAAGCTGCCAATTTGAAAACAAACAACTCCAAGATTTTTTTAAAAAATGCCAAGCAGTTCTGATGCTTTGTGCGCTGCTCAGCCTCGGCCAAAGAGAATGGGGATTCAATTGCCTGAGAAATGCCTTTGCAGGTAATTTTTTTTTTTAAAAAAAAGACATCCTTATACTTGAAAAGCAGTTTGGCATTTGCATGCTGATGAAGCTTCTGCCATTTTTATATTGCCTTTTAAAAATAAAACTAAATTTCCCATAACTTCAATAGACTAAACCCAAACAAAGTGATGATACAACAGTGGTAGGACTCATCTCTGGGGGGGATGAGTCTGCCAGTTGCTTTCGTGGTGTGAAGAAAATAACTTGGTCCTCAACACCAATAAGACCAAGGAGCTTATAGTGGACTATAGAAGGAACAGATCAGACATCCAGCCCTTGTTTATCAATGGAGACTGAGTGGAGCAAGTGGCCAGTTTTAAGTTTCTCGGTGTTACCCTAAAAGAGGACCTGACCTGGGGTGCCCACATTGTAGCCCTGGTCAAAAGGGCCCAGTAGAAATTATACTACCTGAGACTTCTCAGAAAACAACAACTGAATGAAAAACTGCTGGTGACCTTCTACTGCTGCACCATCGAGAGCATTTTAACATACTGCACCTCTGTATGGTTTGCCAATTGCACAGTGGCAGATAAGAAAGCACTCCAAAGGGTTAACGTCATTGCCCAGAAGATCATTGGTTGCCCTTTCCCCTCTTTGGAAGAGTTTTATAGCTCCCGCTGCCTTAACAAAGTTCAAAACATTCTTAAAGATCCGTCTCATCCTTTTTTTGAACTATTACCATCTGGCAGATGGTACAGAATAAAAACAGGCACATATGTGCTGAAAAACAGCTTCTATCCCAGGGCAGTAGCTCTTTTGAATTCTACTGTATAGTGCAATGTTGGTGTGGTGTTGCGGGTTTTCAGGTTCAATGTGTGGAGTGTGAAGGATGTGTGTTTGTGTTTATTTTCATGGTCATGATGTGCACTGGAGATGGTATTTGATTATGTTGTACGACATGCAATGAGAATAAAGTAAATTAAACAGAATTAATAGAATTAATCGGTCCTAAATATAATTAATACTAAATCATAGTAACTATGATATCTTCTTTTTCCTAGCATATTCCCGCAGGTGCAGGGTCCACTTTTGGGATCATTGAATGCCACTTTGCATGGTCAGTTGTGTCTTCAGGCTTGCATATCTTTGTTGATAGTGTCTTGCATATCTTTGTTGATGGTGTCTTGCTTATCTTTGTTTTGGATGCCTGAGAGGTTGCTGGCCATTGACTTCTAGTTGGTAGGCAGTCTTGGCCACGGAGGAAGGTGCTGCTCTGTGGACATGTCCATATCAGCGGAACTGGCCTTCTCTCTTCTTCTCTATAATTGGTACCACACCAAAATGCTGTCGAATGGTGTCATTTGTGATGTGGTCAAGATGGGAGATGCCCCATATCCAATGGCACGGAGATAGCTTTCGGTCCCTGTTGTTGCTGCCCAGCATTCAGTGCCATACAGTGCAACAGGGCGGACAGTTGTCTTGTAAATCTTAAATTTAAGATGGGTTAACATTCGTCTGTCACATAGCACACCAGTGCGTTCTCACCAATACATCCAGGCTGCACTTACCCTTGCTCACACCTTGCAATTGATGTAGCCATTGCCTTGGAGATGGGAGCCCAGATACCGAAAAATAGCAACTATGATATATCACCCTAAAATGTGAGTCAAACAATACAAGCAGCAGTAGCAGAAAAGTTAACAATAGTCTAAATAGCAAATGCATTTCAGATCAGTGTGCTTATTGATTAAAGTATCCAGAGAAATAAATATATCTCTGCCAGGTTCCAAAAAAAAAATCAATGTCTCCCAGAGCTGCCTGGAGTTCAATAGCACAGAAAGAAGGGGAGGTAAAGTGAGATGAAGGAATAGTCAAAGCTAATTGAGAAAAGCTATTTCAAAGAGGAATACCATCACTGGAGCTACCAATGGAAAAGCCTGTTCCTAGATGATTGCGTATTTATTTCAGTACAAAATCCCAAATTTATGGTGGACCTCAGCTTGGGAGAAACAGCATATCATCTCAAACACAACTTCTGATTCCATACATTTGGTAGGCTCCAGGGAGCCATCAGCTTTACTGTACAGGTGGGCCAGCATTCTGTGCAAAACAAATGCTTAAGTCTCCTCTAATAGCATTGGGTCTATTCCAATATTCACAGCTTATTGGCTCCTTATCAATACTTCCAGTGACCGTTATCCAAACATATCCTTGCAATGTATTCTTTCATGATTAAGTACCAGTCAGACACCAAATGTATCAATGAATATATATGGCTCACTCATTAGAATCCAGATGACTATACTTTCAGGGATCATTTCTATAGTATCCAACTAGACAAATTAAAAGATAAAACTAAATACTGGTCCTATTCTTATGGCAGTCAGTGTCAACGTCCTACAGGACATGGTAATAAAGTTTCCAGAACTCTGTGTGATCCTCCAAGGAGTAAGAAATGTAGGACTTACTTTTCTTCCTGCTAATAGATACTTTCATTCATCATGAGCATGATGCAGCCACAAAGTGATCGAATATTTAAACTAGACAATTATTCCAAGTGAGATAACGAAAATAAAGTGCTGAAGTTTATCTAGACCAAGGGTCTTCAAACTTGACAAGTTTAAGACTTGTGGACTTCAACTCCCAGAATTCCTGAGCTAACATAACTGGAGGAGGAATTCTGGGAGTTGAAGTCCACAAGTCTTAAAGCTGTCAAGTTTGAAGACCCCTGATCTAGACAACAACCTGCAAATGTAGTGGGCATCTCGTCTTTTATCTTTCCGTCTAGCGTTTTACCCCATAAATAAAATAATACCTGTAAGTAATATTGTCCTTCAACCTCATGAAGACCATCGAATGCCCCTAGCACGTAAAGTTCACCTTCTTCTTGTTTCATCATCCTGTAGCTTAAATGGCAGCAGAGACTTTTCTGGCACACAGTAAGATTGTCAGCTTCTTTTCCAAGGGTACATAAGGTGAAGTCATCATGGAAAATAAATCCAGAGAAAGTAGGGCCCTCATGAAACCCTTCAACAGTTGTGGCATACGAGCTCCAGTTAACAGTAGGAAGAGGGGTGGGAAAACGAGAAGGATGGGAATAGATTTCTGCAACCAAAAGGTGCCCATTCATTGATTCTGCATCATAATGATAGGCTTCCGATCTGGATGGTGTATAGATACCACTGCCTAAAAATGACGAGAATAAAAGCCATTTTTCTTATCATGTCTTATCATGATAAGATTTTCTTATCATGTATACTGTATGCAAGACATACAGTATACATTATCTCTTCTATTCTACCCCAAAACATATTTAAGAAAACACCACCCACCCCCAAAACACACATATTTAACTCTGAAAAAAGACCAGAAAATGTATTCATATACACAAGAGTTCACCTTCTCTTTTCCTTTTTCTACTTTGATGAGCAAGAATAGAATAGGAAGAATATTCAATATGCTTTAGGAACAAATAGAGGCCCGGGCTTTCACAAAAATTTAAAGAAAAATGGTATTTATGATCAGCAATGCAAAGAAACAAAGCAAAACTTGGCTACTGCAGGATCCTATCTGGGTCAGTCATTGGAACCAGCGGTTTTGTCTTCCAAGCTTTCGAACTCATATTGAAGCCCTTTCTCAGGGAACTTCTCTCTAGCAGAGTATGCACCTTGGGTTGTCCTGTGTATGGTATTTAATGGTGCCTGTTGTATGTGGCTTTTTAGATGTTGATTGGGGTGTTGTTTATTAAGTTGTTAGCTGTTTGTTTCTACTGCCAAGCCCTCACATGCTAAGTTTTTGTCCCATGTAAATAACAGACAAAGAACAGCCCAACATACACACTCTGCTAGAGAGGAGTTCCCTGAGGATGGACTCCAGTATGAATCCAGAAGCTCAGAAGACAAAACCACTGCTTCCATTCACAAACCCAGATTGGATCCTGCAACATTATCCTGGGTCACGTACATTCACCTTCATTCGTAGGCTATCACTGTTTACACAGCCAATCAGAGATTATTTGTAGAAGTCCAATAAAGAAAGAATAAGACTGTACTCTGTATACTACAGTGATGGCAATGGCTTCCCTCCTCTTGAATTTCTGTCTGCAAGGACCACACCAGCGTATCTTCATTTTGGCAAGGGGGCATTAAAGGATTTCTCAAAGAAGAGACTTTTCAACCAGCTGGAGATTCTCAACTGTTGGGTGAATAGAACCAAATACCAATCAAATCTTTTATCTCAACCAGTACATTACCTGTCATATTGAGGATAGGATTATGAGTATTAGCTGCCAGAACATTGGCACGCATGCCCATGGCCCAAGCTGAATGGAATTCGATAGCAGTTAAATGTGGGAGGACATTCATCCAGGCTGTCGGGAAAAGGATAGTGTCCACAGAGAGCTGGGTTATGAGGGTTACAGCAGGATCATGGAAGAGAATATCAAAGCAAGTGAAGAGGCCAAATTTTCCAAAGGCAGTATCGAAGGTTGCAAGTTCAGGCTCTTTAGGGAAATCAAATTGTTGCTCCCCCTTAAACAGGTTAAACTGTTAAAAAGAGAACACATTTAGGAAAGAGGTGGGGTGTTTTTCAGTGAACGTATGAACAACGTAACACTGACTTAAAGCCACCTTGCAAGTCATTTTAACTGAAGGTGAAAGTGTAATGCATTTTAAAAAAAGAAGGGAAAAAAATCCCAAAACTTCTTTAAATTTGGATGGACTGGTTTCCCAGAACCTCTGTGCCTATTAATAATGTAGTATCAGCACCCATTACAAGGAGAAGATCTTCTTTATGTAACTGAGAGATACATTTATAGTGGTCTCCTGCATTTTCACACAGCTTGGTTCCAGTTGTGCTGGAAAACAAACCTCTGCTATTATCTGTTTTAAATATTTCACTTAGGACTCATTTTTGGTTTCAAAATTGGAATAATCTTGATTATATACAGCATGTTATATCATTGGGTACAACAAGATCTAGAGGAACTCTTAAAAATGGGGCTATCTGGTGGCTTCTGTTCTTTGTGATTGTGATGACAGGCAGACAACAACACATATGTGTACCTGCCCTTTGTGTCCCAACGTGTACATATTTTAATCTTGTATTTTACATTTTAAATAATATGTCATATAGTATGCCTTATTTTAATTGTGATACTTCTGACACAAATAAACAACAAACATCATTGGAGGAAAACATAATTATTACCTAAGTACATTTCAGTGGTGGGATTCAAATATTTTTACCACCAGTTTGGTGGGTGTGGCTTGGTGGGTGCATGCATGCATCAAACGTGCACTTTGTGCAGGTGCAAAGGCATTTGTGCAGGCGCAGAGGTGTTCTAACTCACCTCCTGCAAGCCTGCTCTCTCCCGGTCTCTTCAGCAGCTGCCATGTGGCACTCTGCTGTGCCATACAAAGCAGCTGCACTTCAAATTCAGAGGATAAAGGTGAGTATGGGAGCCCAGGTGGGCAGGTGGTCCCAACAGCAGAGTGGCGGAGGGAACAGGTTCGGTCTCCGCTGCTCATTGCCGCTACTGGGCCGAACCGGTAGAATAGCACCACTGGTACATTTGATACTGAATTGCATTCCAAAACTATGGAAGTTGATATTATGAAGAGCTCTGGCTCTATTAAGACTGGGATTCAACTAAATAATTAGTCTGGATAGGTGGAAAAATGCTTCAGGTGTCAAAGAACAGATGTCAAAGATGTGTATTTCTTAGTTGATTTTGGAGTATCTTTATATTGTAAAAACGAGAAGAGAGCAATATTATTTCCACAATTAATAACAAGAGTAAAAGTTAAGGTAGTGGTACTACTTATTTTTCTCTTTTTCCATTTTAAGTTTATTTTTGTCTTTTATTGTATTTTTGCTTTTGTATTATTTTTTATCTACATTACATTTCTGTAATAAAAAAGGAAACTAAAAAAGGAGGAAAGAAAGAATTGAAAAAATGAAGGAAAGAAAGAAAGAAAGAGAGAGAGAGAGAGAGAGAGAGAGAGAGAAAGAAAGAAAGAAAGAAAGAAAGAAAGAAAGAAAGAAAGAAAGAAAGAAAGAAAGAAAGAAAGAAAGAAAGATCTATCAAATTAGAACTGCATTTTATTGGATGCCCAAAATTCTCTTCTACCCTATATATCTGTATTGCTAAATCACATTTTCTACAAGTAATTCGTTATCCCTCTGAAATCTCAAAGTTGGAATATGCTCCAGTGAACATATTCAGCCTCTGATGTTCAAAATAAAATTAACTTATAAAGTGATGTGCTTATATTTTATGTGGGGTTCATGAAGAAACAACCAGTTCTTAAAAATAAAGTGTGAAAATTGTAACCTTACCTTGTGGTATCGTGCTACCAGCTTTCCCTCTGAATCAAAGACAACATTTGTGTTGTATTGATAGCGGCCATCGCAGGGGCACTTTGGGTCTATATAACTGCAATTCTTCTTATCACCCATATTGGCAACTACATAGATTGAATTGTTCCTGGCCAGACAGCTCAGTCTTTTTTGGACTGGTGCAGGTCCAAATCTAAATGTGAAGACCACAGAAATGAAGAATTAATACAATTAAATTCTGTTAATTTATCTCCATGTTGAAGGATGTAATACAGAAAGAGACACTAAAACAGTCAATAAAACAGAAGCGAGGTTATGTCTTTTAAAATGTAAAAGAGAAGAAAAGAGTCATAAAGGTTGGATTAGGCAGTGGTAAGATTCAGCCAGTTCGCACCACTTTAGGAGAAACGGTTGTTAACTTGCTGAGCAGTTTGGTGAACTGATTGTTGAAAGAAATCATTAGGGCAGAGAACCTGTTGTTAAATTATTTGAATCCTACCACTAGGAGTAAGTGAGCTTTAGATACTGTGAAATATTTTTCCTTCCAACTATATTTCTGTTTGAAATTGATTCAAGAAGATGTTTTTTTCACTGAAGAGGAAAAAAATATGGGAAGTAATTAGGTGCTCTCAATCAGTGGAACACCAGTTCACTGGGGAAAAGATGAAATGAATCTTTTTGGCAGTGGTTCCCAATTGAGAGATACTTTGAATTAATAATGATATAATTTAGTAGGTTGTTTATAAATGTACAACACGTAATTTATAAAGTTATTCGTTTGATATTGTGTGAATCCAGTAACTGTAATTTATAAATTATTGTCTAAGCCTTAGTACGCAACCTTAGCCATCAAATTATGGTTTATTTAATAAAATACAGTTAAGCAAATAATAGCTTGGTGTAACCAATGTACCCAGTTTCTTCCCCACTACAAATTGCTCCATTCCCTGGCCAGCTATTTTCAGCAATGAGACTTTAAACATACATAAGGGCAGAGATTAACAAAGATGACTCTAGATAGTAAATATCTCTCTCCCTCCCTCCCTCCCTCCTTCTCTCTCTTAATTGAAGATTGGAAGCCCTCTTCTTTAGATTGCTCCCATAAAAGTTAACATGCCACATCCAATTACATTGTGATTTGATTAAAAAATCCAGGATTTCATGCTGTTGTTTTCCTTCTATTGTGACATGTTGCCTTTTGGCACTTGGAGCCCTCCTAATATGTTGAGTTAACTTTTAGAAGATCAAACTAATATACCCATGCATAAACATGTACCTATAAGAGATGACTAGGCTGAGGGAGGGGTCAAACAGGTCATCAGACATGAGTCCCTTCATGCTCACAAGAGATCTAAGTCCTGGTCAACTTGAAACCCTATTCATAACTCTCACTAATTTTCCTTGACCGCTAGTAGTTCAGATTCTTGATGCCCATTTGAACTGTCTGGATCTCCTGATTTTCCTGACACTTGACTGTACCCTCATGGGGTAAATAATGTTATATAAGGAATAGAAAAAAAGTGAGAAATAGTAACTGAAAAATTAAAGGCAGGAGATGAAAGAAAAGGACACGCCGTTTATTATGCTTCTGCATACCTTTCTACTCCTATCAACCATGGGTGTGTCCACCAACATCACATGCCTTTTGTTTCTTATATTGCTCACTTTCTTATTTAAAAAATACAGTATATCTACTCCATCCAACCTTGACTTTGTCATCTTCCTCTTCCTCTCAACCCTTCCTTGTACTCTTCCTTATACTTTCAATGTATTTACCTGCCTTTC